AAGCCAAAGACTAGAAGAACAAAACTGTAAGGGTTATTGAGATTATTCAGTGGGGGAAGAACACTTTTGCCACATAAACCTGAAGACCAGAGTTTGATGCCTGAAATCCATGTTTTGTTTTGTTTTTAAAGCTGAGTATGGTACCTTGAATCTGTTATCCCAGCACTCGTACAGCAAGATGGGAGGTGGAGACAGGAGAATCTCCAGAGAGCTCATATGCCCATCAGACTAGAGTGTGTAGCATGGTAGCAATGGCAACAAAAACCCTGTCCCCTAAAGAAGTTGAAGGAGAGAACCAGCTCCTGAAAGTTGTCCTGTGATGTCCGCCCTTTTTAAGTATTAGAATGAGGTGAGTTAAAGGTCATCTGGTAGAGGAGTGGGCATTAACCAGTGTGTGGGGGGAGGAACAGAGGCCCGATCCTCCCATGTTTAATTGGTGGGGGAAAATTCCAACTTGGTGGAAGAATTTTCTTTTCAGACTTACAGATGTCTTTTGGGGGAGGAGAGGGTCTAGGTTTTTATATCAATACCTCTGGACATCAACCTCTATGCAATCAGGCTGTTCCTCAGGAGACTCAGAGACAGAATTATGGTCTTCTCCCTGCAGTTTGTCTAGCACCCCTTCTGCTGGTACCCATGTCGTGGGCAGACACACATATCTCTGGGTTTTATGTGGCTCCAATACGAGACTAGCTCTCAAGGGGCTTCTTCTAGTCCTCGATCAGCCAGATCAAGCCGGTGATAATGGACCTGAATGGGCTTGGATGTTACCTGTTAGCAAATAAACTTAGTGAGCCTATTAAGGGCCCATGGTCCAAAAGCCATCAATAATAAAAATCCTAAGAGGGGTCCCAAAAGGGAAGGTAAGAGGGTGGTGACCCAGGGGAAATGATCCCTCCTCTTGCTCTCTCTGCTTTTTTCTATGGTCTAATCCTTTTGTGACCTTAGCAAAACTGTCTCAGTGTGATCAGTATAGAAACAACATTTCTCTTTTAGGGCAGTGCAAAGGGATCAAAAATCTAAAATTCTTAACATATGCATTAAACCCAAATATTTTACAGGGTGTGTCAAACTTTCCTCAACATCTATAAGCAGTTACAAATATCATTAGGTCAATTCCAGTAACAGCACAATGACATTGCTACCATCAAATACCAGTTCCAGTCCCTGAGCAACAGTCAAACCCCAAGTCTGCCCGCTTCTTAAGTGAAGAGGGGTTAATATGTTAATCAAAATGAGTTCTATGTCCCAAAGATTAAAACAGTCAGATGTTTAGTTTGCATATTAGCTTCAAAGCAAACAGGATTCAAACTGCAGAAAATTGTGTCCCAGGTCTGGAAGCAGCTCAGCATTTGTGCTTTAGGGCAGGTGGGATTCCTGGATGAGGTGAGCTGGATTCAGCTACCTGAAGCACATCTTGGCAATCATCAGCGGGGTCTCTTTGTGCAAACTCTCTGGAGGCAGAATGTGTAGAGTGGCTTAGTAGGTCCTGCTATCAGACTCTCCTCTCCGTGGGGGCAGGGAAGACTGGATCAAGGAATCCTCTCCAACTCGTTCCTTGAACTCCTTTATGGGGTGTTACGACATCATCAGGTCCAGCTTTATTTTCTTTCTGTGAAAAAAGCACAAACACATCCTCAACCCCAAATATCGGGTCTTTTTATAATTCATTGCAAGGCCTTTTTTTTTTTTTTTTTAACTTGCCTTAGCAAAGGTCGCCTTGGTGCCATCATGTCAGAGCTGTCTGCAACTTTTATAAGTTGTTTTCAAGGAACCATATCACGTTCCACAATTTTTTATTATTAACCATATATGCAGTTCTTCCATTGGAAGAGCCTTGTGCAAAAAGGTAATTAAAAAATTAAAGTCCAGGTGTTGTTGTTGGTGTATACCTTTAATTCCAACACTCAGGAGGCAGAAGCAGATGGATCTCTGTGTGAGTTTGAGGCCAGTCTACAGAGCAAGTTCCAGGACAGCTAGGGCTGTTACACAGAGAAACTCTGTCTCAAAACAAACAAACCTAAAACCGAGAGAGAGAGAGAGAGAGAGAGAGAGAGAGAGAGAGAGAGAGAGAGAAGAAAAACCAAACAAATAAATGAAAAACACAACTGTGAGGCAGACATTAGGTAGACATACCTATTCCAAATGTCAGAAATAAAACAGAAGGGAATAATTTGTCCCAAATAAGTCCCAAACACGATCGGGCAATATTTATTCAATTTCTTTCACTTCATCTGCGTGTGTGTGTGTGTGTGTGTGTGTGTGTGTGTGTCTGTGCTATGTGTTTCATTAGGGTTGCTTTCAGAGTCCTGGGTGAGGGTATTGCTTGGAGAATGGACTCTCTACCATTAGATTCAGAGAATTTCTCTCCCTTTATCACCAACCACCTGCTAACTGTTTGTAAACCCTCAGGGAAGGGTGAGGTGCTATGAGGACCTCCCAACAGGAGGTTTTTGTTTGTTTGTTTGAGACAGGGTCTCACTTTGCAGTCCTGACTGGCCTGGAATTCATTACGTAGATCAGGCTGGTCTCTAATTCACAGAGATTCACTTGCCTTTGCTTCTGAGTGATGAGATTCAAGGTGTGTGCCACCACACTGAACAGATTTCTCTAAGAGGGAATCCCAAGGTCCAGATGCCATAGGTGTCCCTCTCTCTCTTTGTAAATATATTTTAAAATTTTTACTGTTATTTATGTGTGCGGGTGGCTGGTTGTGGAGGACACCAAAAAGAGGGTGTGAGACCCCCCTGGAGCGAGAGTTACAGGCAGCTGTGTAGGTGCTGGGAACTGAGCAGGAGTAAGCAATCCTAACCACCGTGCGGTCCCTAGCCCCACCCCAACAGGGGAAATACTTTTATCTTAAGACTCAAGAACAAAGGTTGGCTCCAAATCCAACCTTCCAGACACGTGGTGTGGAGTTTTAGTTCACAGAGCTCTAGGCGTGGCTCACTGGGAACAGCTCCCCCAGCAATTTCTTGCCAGTTGGAACCAGGTACCTGTACCTCTCCCAGGCTGTTGGTGAACACTGGTGGCTTGACACTTCTGGGGTAATTATATAGGGGAAAGCTACTTCCATACCTCTTTCGGGGCACTGCTCTAGTTGGGGCTTATTCTGTGGGCAAATGACCACTGACCACTGGCTCTGGTTACAAGGCCATGACTTTGCTAAGCACTACGCTGGTAGGGACTTTACAACAGCCTTACTCCAGTTCTCTGCTTGGATCTGGAGGCTCATGAAGGCATACTTTGAAATCTAGGTGGAGCTAGCAATGACTCCACAGCTCATGCACTTTGTGTGCCTGCAGAGTTGGCACTGCTTGGACACCACCAAGGTCCAGTGAGAGGTTGCTACCCACCCAAGCTGCACCTGAGCCCAGATTGTATCAGCTATCCTCCAATGGCCACACTCTAAAGACAAAGGTCTGGCCTCTTTGGTCGGTTACTAAGGTACTATTGAGAGCCTAAATTATCTCCTTTGTTATGGGAATAGAGCCTAAAGGCTACACTCCTTGTAAACAAACATCACCATCTTAGGGACCCTATGTTCCACTATCTCTAACGTGGTTAGAATACCACTTATACCTTTGAGGTGTTTTGGATGTAGCACTTCTTGAAGTAATTCTACTTTGTGTGATTTAATATCTCCTAAGCTAGTTTAGTAGTAAATCCTTTAAAAAATCAATTCTATTGCTTTGCTTATTCTACATCACAGGCAACTGTTGAAAGTAGCAGTCCTCAGGTAGGTATAATAGAAGTAAAGATTGCAAAGTAGGAGAGGGAAGGAAGAAGAAAAACTGGTTTTGAGACAGAGGCAGGCAGATCTCTGTGAGTTTGAGGCCAGCCTGGTCTACAGAGCGAGTTCCAGGACAGGTTCTAAAGCTACAGAGAAACCAAAAACCAAAAACAACAACAATAAAAACCAAAACCAAAAACCAAAACCAAACAAACAAACTGGTTTTGACTTGTTTCAGGCTCTGTTATCTGATTTAGGAAGAACGGGACTAGGACAGACTCTACCCATTTATAAAAAGGACAAGTGACTATAATACGTAAGGCAAGATTTCTTCCACTCAGAGTTTTTAAAGTAAATGTACCGAACAATTACTTAGGTCAGAAGAGTTTAATCCCCACCCCCAACACAAACCATCTGTTGACTACTGTATTGCCAACAAAGCAATAAAAGCTCTTTTCCTATAAACTCTTGTCTGATTGTATTTAATGAAACCATAGATTTACTACATGAGTATTCAGAATTCTACAAATATTGAAAATTCCGTCACTGGCTCAGGGCCTGGGCTTGTTGACTACAGTGATGTCCCTCCAGCATGCTTCTTCGTTTCCACAGCTTGTTTATGCTTATTCTCACTTTTTTTCTTTTTTTTCTTTCTTTTTGGTTTTTTCAGGATAGGGTTTCTCTTTAGCTTTGGAGTCTGTCCTGAAACTCACTCTGTAGACCTCTGAAACTGCCTCTGCCTCCTGAGTGCTGGGACTAAAGGTGTGCACCACCACCGCCTGGCCCCCCACTTTTTTCTTAAATCTAGGTGTCTGAATATTTATTATAAGACAGCAAGTACAGTGATTTCCACTTTTGCAGTTAATGAGATGATCTGGAAAAATAATTCTAATTGGTAAGGCAAGAATGATTACAATGTATTTTTAAATTTTTATCTAGCTTCTTAAATATCTTCTCTTTAAAATTAAAACTTTATTATAAAGAACTTACAAATAAACCAGGCATGGTGGCACATGCCTTTAATTCCAGCATGTGGGAGGTAGAGGCAGGCGAGGCCAGCCTGGTTTACAGAACCAGTTCCAGGACAGTCAGGGCTAGGTTACACAGAAACCCTGTCTCAAAAAACCAACAGAATGTGGGGAGAGGGGACAGAAAGAAAAAGAAAAAAAAATGAAGCAATTTGTATGACAAGGAAGGGGCAATGACTTTGAAGCTGTCACACAGAAACACACACAGAACTTTTTATTTGACAATGGGCAATAAAGTCTCCTAGGAATGTAGCTAACTTTAGATTGTTTGGGGGTGATTTTTCAAGCTGGACAAGGATTTCCATCTTCAAAATCTTCAAAATTCAGTAGATTCCCCACTTTATATCTGGTCTCAAGTAGTTTCCATTTGTTTTAGCAGTTTGGTATAGATTTGTTTTCAGGTATGTGTGTAGAGATGATACCATTGTCTTTAAAACAAGTTTGGTGTTTTTTTTTTAAATTACAACTTCATTTATGCATGAAGATAGGTGATGGTAAGGTGTTTTTGATTCTTGTTTAATCAATTGGATTCATGGCATTATCTGTGAAAGAAAGGCTTTTAGTTATTTTTTTTTTAGTTATTTTCTTTTTTCCTCCCAGTAATCTCCCCCTTCTACATATCTTTAAAAGGAACCTACCAAGGACTACTAAGTTTTGCTGATTGTCTTTCTCTCTCCAGTGTTTTGAGACAGGGTTTCTCTGCGTTGCCATGGTTGTCCTGGAACTCACTGTATAGACCAGGCTGGACTATGCCTCCCAGGTGCTGGGATTAAAGGTGTGCACCACCACTGCCCAGCTGATTCTTTATATTAAAAGTCAGACATCACTATTTCAGTTATTTGAGATGCCTAAGTGAAAATGCATGATGTGGAGCTGGAGAGGGTTGAGCTGGTAGAGATGCTTGCCACCAGATCTGTGTGTAAACATGCATGAGTGCACATGCCAATGCAGAAAATGTTAAATGTTTCCTTCTTCACCTCTGGATGTTGCCTTCTGAACTATAGTTTCGGTGCTGTGAAAGAATGAAGGCACTACAGGAACCATAAAATCTTTCTCCTGTGAGGTGGTGGTGGTGCAAGCCTTCAATCCCAGCACTTGGGAGGCAGAGGCAGAGGCAGAAGGATGTTTGTGAGGCCAGCCTGGTCTACAGAGTGTGTCCCGGGACAGCCAGGGCTACACAGAGATGAACCCTGTCTTGAAAACTAGAGATAACTTTTTCCTTCCTGTAAAGCGTACCTTCAGCTTTTAAGACAAATGGATGATAGAGAAGTCACATTGATTTAATTAGCAAATTTCAGTTCTACCTAATGCCAGGCTTAGCTGATAAAAATTATGTCTCTGTGTGCTACCTACATGAGTGCTAGTGCCTAGTCCCCTGGGGCTGAGATTAGAGGTGATTGTGAGCAACTCAAACAGGTGCTGGGACCCTTAAACTCGGGCTCTCCGCAAGAGCAATAAGAACTCTTAACTACTGAGCCATCTCTCCAGCCTCATGGTTTTAGTTCTCTATAGGAGAGAGCTTTTCCTTTCCCCTCCATTCTGTGCAGCAAGAATATGGAGAGTGTGGGCCAGTGGGTCTAGTCTGTATACTCAGAACTCTGAGTTCTCGAAAGCCAGAGTCTAAGAGGAGCAGGACTGGGTGGGGGTTGGAGAGTAAGATTCTGCTCAGTCCTTTCTTAGCTCCTAAACCCCTGCTGTGGATTGCCTTTATGATTATAATGCCTCAGGGATTCTGGTTCCAGGATAGGGATAATGATGCAGCTTAGTGGGATCTGAACATATCTGGCAGGACCCTCCAAACTTGCACTGCCTTAGATCCTTCCACATCCTTTCAGTTCTCTTTCTCTTGATAGCTACTACCCCCAATCCAGTCCCTACCTGTGAAAACATTCATCTGCTCACTGGGGGATCTTGTCTAGACCAGCCTACTGGGGTTTCTCCTTGCCCATGTTGTAGAGCCTTGGATTTGGTTAACACAGGAGAGAGAAGGGATACTTTTCTGGGGATGTCTGAGTGAGAAAAGGTACTATACCACCAGGGACAGTTCCTGAGCTGGAGTCCTCCCTTGTGGCCAAAGCACAGTGTGATTCTTGGGAATAATGACTGCTTGAAGCCCTCCCTTACCCTCAGTGATCCTTGCCTGCCTAGGTCATCCTTGGAATGGGACAGGGTGCCTTCTGTATCCCGAATGCTGGGATTACATCATGTTCTGCTTCTGTGGTACTGAGAAATTAAACCAAGGGCTTCATGCATGCAAGGAAAATACTTTACCAAGTAGGCTACATCCTTGACTGTCTATTTATTGTTTAGATAGGGTCTTAGTATGTAGCCCTCGGTCTCCTGGAACTTGCCAGGCTGAGTTGTGAAGATACCTGCCTGACGCTCTGATTACTAGAGTGCTGGGCTTAAAGGCATGCATCACTACACCTGACTTGCAATGTCTTTAACTTTTTAAAGGTATTTTTATTTTTTTTATGAGTATGAGTGCTTTCTTTGTATAGATGTCAGGTTGCAAGGATGCAACATACGACTTCAATAACAATTCAAACGGCAAGAAAGATACCTGGTGCAGTTCTTTCCACATCTTGTTCAGCTTCTGAGTTCAGATCAGTGAGCATCTTCCTAGAATACAGAGAAAGTATAATCGATTGTCAATAGGCTGACACCAGCAATTTGAAGAGACACAAAAGTCATTCAGGCACACACAAAAATATGACCCATTCATATTGGAACTAAAAAAGGTTGTCTTCCTACTAAAAGGAATGGGGATGTGAAATTTACATTTTTTTTTTTACTTCAGTGATATGTATAACAGAAAAGACCAAAGAAAGAACTGGAGGTTTTGATAAAGGTTTCATTAGCGCTACTGTTTTTATTGTTTATCAAATAGTAAACAGACCACCGATTTTCCTTAAAAGGGGTGGGGCTGGGGAGTTTGAACAATTAGCCATGCAAAAGGCATGCAGGCTAGTTCCCTCTCTCTTCTTTGAGATGGCTTGGACTATGTAGCCCTAATTGGCCTGGAAGCCACTCTGTAGATCAGACTCTACAGAAGGGCTCTGACAGAAATCTGAATGTGGTGACACTCGGATCACAGGTGCAGTCCCTGGACTGGTGAGCTGGAGGCAGGGCTGATTGGAGACAGGGGCAAACCAAAGCCACTATGCAAATCAGGCTGTAGAACACACAAATTTTCCTGCTACTGCCTCCCAGGTGCTGGGATTAAAGGCATGCACTACCTCACCTATTTCTCCTTCTAAAGAAAAAAGCTGGACATCAAATGTGTACCTCTACTAGCACTTGGGGAAAAACAGTACTAAGAGAACAGGGCATGGAAGGTCTGCTCTAGGACCTGCTTTAGCAGAAATAGACTTGTGGGCTCTTTTACTCTTTGAACTCTCTGATTTCCTACAAAAATGACAGCCATGCTCACAAAAGTAAAATCCTAAATAATTGAATTCCAAAATCATCTGTGAGAAAAGGTCCACATAAAATGGAAGACGTGAAAACAATGCCCTCCATAAAAGCAGCAACAGCGTGCTGTGTGCAACGGTTGTAAGTACAGACTTCATCGTCTTCCTACATTTCTTTCCAGCGGACACCAAGGATAAGGTTCAGAACAGTTAAAGGAGAGGTGACTCCCATTGTATTTCTCTTCCCCATCCCCAGATGTTCCATAACTCAAGGACATTTAAGGTTACATACATAGACATGGAGGGGTTTGTTTTTATGTTGTCAATGATAACTTTCACGTTATCATCAATATCGCTGTCACCATAGCTGGTTCCATCATCTTCTTTAGCATTTCCCTACAGAGTGATAAAGACACAGGGGAAAGTCAAAAGGAAGTAGACAGAACTTTTGGTCATCAAAGGAGGATTTCTGTCTTAATGTTAATCCTATATTTGATAGTCTTAAGTGATGAAAATAATGTTGTGACAAAACTTAGTAAACATTTGTACCTTATAATCTGACCATTGCTCCTCTCTTACATCAAGGTACCCATCAATAGGTGGCTACCTTGACAACTTTGGAGAAAATGGGCCTTGGGTACAGTGTTTTTATAATAATAGATTGCTGGGTGGTGGTGGCGCACACCTTTAATCCCAGCACTCAGGTGGCAGAATTGCTGGGACTTCGAGGCCAGCCTGGTCTACAAGAGCTACTTTTAGGACAGCCAAAGCTATGAAATAGAGAAACCCTGTCTTGGAAAAAAACAAAAACAAAAACAAAACAATAGATTGCTCACATTAATGAAAGCATCAGATACCCTGAAGAGACCTGAGTTGGTTCTAGAATACTTTTAGTGGTCTTGGTTGCTGACTACAATCCTCAATTTACTTTTATTACTGCTGACCACTTTCTTTCCTTCAAAATCTCAAAAGGAAATAGGAATGTGGTTGTAGTCCCAGCACTGGTGAGGCAGAGGCAGGGTTGAGAGCTCAAGGCCAGCGCTACCTACCAGCCTACTAGCACCCTGGAGGCAAGCACATTTTGTGAGTTTGAGGTCAGCCTGGTCTACCATAGTGAGTTCTGGGGCAGTCAGTGTTCCATAGTGAGTCTCTGTCTCAAAAAAACAAAAATTGACAGAGTGAGAGAGGTTATATCCATCTAGGCCTCATTCATCTCTCTAGGGCTATGGCCCTGACTTCAGGGTAGGCCTGTAGCTGCTACCCGAAAAGAATCATTACTTTGGTGGTAAATCCTCAATATTCATGTATTGTATATTTGCAAATCCACCTATTTATTAAAATTTAGTTGTAACACTTAAAAACAATTCTTTCGGTGCATTTTGATCATTTCAGATAGGCACAGAGAGGTGAAAAATTTGTCACCCAACTGTAATTTCCTAGCTGAGGTTGCACGTTGACGCCTTCTCACAGCTTTAAAGCTTCTCAGATCTTTAAGCACATATCCTCTGCATTACCCATCTAATATCATATTTTTCACATTTATATTCCTTTTGCTGGTATCTGAGCACACAAGACCATACTGTGCTGTGCCTTATGTTTAAATTTTAAAGTATGTGTGTGTCTGTGTGGGGGGGCGTGAGAGAGAAAAAGAGAGAGAAAGACATGTGTCAGAAGGCAGCTTTCAAGAGTTGGTTCTTACCTTCTACCCAGTTTGGGACAGGATAGCTCTGATTTCTGCCATGCTGCATACTTGAGACTAGCAGGCTTACAAGCTGCCAGACAATGCTGTCTCAGCCTCCCATCTCACCATAGGCATGCTGGGATTACAGATTCAAGACACCACCTCTGGCTTGTTTGCTTTGTTTTTGCTTTTCAAGGCAAGGTTTCTGGGTGTAGCCCTGACTGTCCTGGAACTCCTCTTGTATACCTGCTAGCCTTGAACTGACAGCTATGTCTGCCTGTCTCCGCCTCCTGGGAGTGCTGGAATTAAAGGCATGGGACACCACACCCAGCTTCACATCCGGTTTAATAAAAACTTTTTATGAGCTAAAAAGCCTTTTCACAGACTCACATTTTAGAAAATGATAATAAAAATACACAGCATTTCAGAACTGACTGAAACATAGTAAGGTAGGACTGTCACCCATTCCTTCTATATACTATGCGCCACTGATCTAGCCAAGAATAAACCTGCTACATGTACAGTCACACTTTACAGCTTATTCATGTTGTGTCCTACCAAGGAAAATTCTTAGGCTATATACCAAAAACAATGCATAACAATTCTTATGTGTATAACTACTTTTAAGCTAAACATACACCTACTTCTATTAAGTTTCATATTTTAAAATTGGGAGCATTTAAAACTAGTAAGACTTTACTTTGGTCTTACCAAATTAGACATATCCTGTCATACTGAATACATTAAAATCACATTTGTTTAAGATACATAACATGTTGAGGGAAAGGGAGATGGCTTTAGTGGGTATAAAGGTGCTAGCCATGAAAGCCTGACAACCCAAGTTTGATCCTCAGAACCCATGAAAAAGAATCAAGACATATGGAGTCAGCAAGATGGTTCGGTAGGGTTAAGACACGTTCCACCGAGCCACATGGTGGAAGGAGAGAACTGGCATCTTCAAGTTGTCCTCTGACCTTCACACAAATACCCAAATATACACAGAGGATAAAGAAATATATGTGATTTTAAAAAGTTTTTATTGACTTTTAAAGGTTTTTGAATTACATGTGTGAATACATGGGGGATAGTGCCTTCAGAGGCCAGAGATAAGAACTCCCTCCCTGGGCTGGAGAGACGGCTCAGTGGTTAAGTGCATTGATTGCTCTTCCAGAGGTCCTGAGTTTAATTCCCAGCAACCATACGTGGCTCACAACCATTGGTAATAAGATCTGCTGCTAACTTCTGTCTGCAGGGATACATGCAGGCAGACCATTGTATACATAATAAATAAATAAATCTTAAAAAAAAGAACTCCCTCCCTTTGGAGTTGGGTGTTAGAAGAGGTTGTGAGCTGTACAATGTGGGTGCTGGGAATCAGATTCAGGCTTTCTGGAATAGCAGAAGAACTCTTAACCACCGAGTCAACTCTCCGGCCCATACTGCATTCATTTTAGAAAGTCCCACTTGAAAAATTTCCAAACTGATATGCGTTTAGAGAACAGGAATGGAAAAGGACTCTAAATCAAGATATACGAAGGACTTGGAATGGCATGATCCATCTTGGAGAGGATTTAAGCCTAATGTGATAGTGACAAGACGGCTTGGGGCTGGTTAAGAATGCTTGTTATTCTTCCAGAGGACCAAACTTTGATGGCAGCACCGGTATTAGCTGACTCATGACCACTTATAGCTCCAGCTCCAGCCAGGGCCAAATGCCTTTAGTTTCTGTAGATACTTGCACTCACATGCACATATCTGCACACACATGCACATATACACATAATCAAAATAAAACAAATCTTTAAAAGTTTGAAGGCCTAGCCAGACAGTGGTGGCGCATGCCTTTAATCCTAGCACTTGGGAGGCAGAGGCAGGTGGATCTCTGTGAGTTCCAGGTCAGCCTGGTCTACAGAGTAAGTTCCAGGACGGCTAGGACTGTTACACAGAGAAACCGTGTTTCGAAAAACAAAAAAACAAAACAAAACAAAAAAGTTTGAAGGACTATTTCTGTGGAAGCAGCATTAGATTTTTACAGCAGTGGTTCAAAGGAGCCGAATTCAAATAAATAGGTTAAAAGTATAGCAAGATAGCTCCCTACTAAGCATAAGTAGAAATCTGCAATTGTAGAGCTACTCACAAATCTAATGGGATTTTCTAGAAGGTACTTTATCCCCCACCAAGAGAAAATCATGTAATCACATGTTGCAATTCTACAAGCAATTCACACACAGTATGATTTACTAGATCAGATGATCTTCCCTGGAATCAGACTCCAGTTTGTAGACACGTGAACATATCTAGCGCCTGCTTTTCAAAAGGGAAAATCACATGAGTATATTTGCTTTTTCCTATTCTTGCTTCTAAAAATATCTCCGCCAGCTGGCAGGGGAAGAACAAGAAAAAGAGAATACTCTCTAAGTAGTTAATTTTATTTGTCCAGTCATCGATCCCTGTTTTAAAGCCCTAACAGAAGGATTCTTTTTGTTGTTGTTGTTGTTGTTGTTGTTGTGTGTGTGTGTGTGTGTGTGTTTTCCTGAGACAGAGTTTCTCTGTGTAGCAGCTCTGGCTGTCCTGGAACTCACTTTGTAGATCAGGATGGTCTTGAACTCACAAAGATCTGCCTGCCTCTGCCTATTGAGTGCTGGGATTAAAGGGATGCACCACCACACCTGGCAACATAAGGAGTTATAGGATAAAAAATATTGAACACACTTAATTGATTAGTTAAATACATTTGCAGTAAGGCTCAGTTTTCAACGGACATCACTATCCTAGCACCATATCCATTCTAGTATGTTTCGAATCCACCACCACGCCATTTCCATTTGATGTGTTTTTCAGGTTCCCACATCTTGGTGTGTTTCTGTCTTCCTTGTCCCACTTACCACTTGGCGACTGTTGCTATCATCAATCCTGCTGAGTTTGCTCTCTTGAAGGATGTCTTGCAAGCGCAGAAATGACTCGGTGTAGCTAGAGAAAAGTATCACAATAGTCAACACACTGGAGAGTTTTTCACCCCAACACCAGATTGTATGCAGTTCAGAAACCCAAGCACTCAAACTAAAGTACAATCTGGTGCTGAAGCCAAATGATTGAATAAGTGTGATTGAATTCAGAAAATGCATTGAACAGAATATTGAGGCTGAAGGGTATCACCTAGATCAACTTTTTCATTTTATAGATTAAGAAAGTAAAATAGTGAGATGAATCTGTTGACTATACTTTTTTCTACTTTAATTGGCCCCAAATGTTGTTGCAGTTTTAACTGGCTCACTTGTTATTTGTATTTTGCTCTCCACTTTGTTTTTCTTTACGGATTCCCTCTAAAAAGCTTCAGTTTTGCATTTTTATGAAGTTTGTTCTCTTGTTTTGAGTTCAGGCCACAATTTCTAGCCTCAGTTTGATTCCCAGTGTTCCTACCAGAAAGAGATTTGCCAGTGGTCCCTAGGTGTTTTAGCTCTGCTGAGATTCCGACCCTAGAGCGTCTGCAATGGAGCATGTGTGCTTCTGCTCCTGCCCTCCACTCTCCTCATTAAAAACACAGGCCCTGAGACTAAGCTATAGGTAAACTGTTTTCTCCTTGAGTTTCTGGAAATTCAGTTATCAGTTCTCTGAGACGTTGTAGCTCCTTCACTAGCCTTAGTAACTGGAATGCACCTGGCCTTGGAGGGACCCTGAGTGAAAACTGAGTACAGAAGAGAACTTGCTACCCACCATGTTCATAATGAGGGCTTCAGAACACCACAAAAAATAAAAATCTAAAGAAGCTTTGCAGTCTTATTGTAGTAGCACTTTAAAAAAAAAGACACAGCAAGTTACCAGTTTCAGTGACAAAATCAAAGGCTCTTTTCTCTTGGCAAAGAAAGTCTGATAAATCCCAGCTAGTGCTCTCGCGTGTCCCGTGCAAGTACACATTTCTGTGTTGCTTATCACATCATGTAACAAGGTCATTTGGGAAGTGTCCTTCTTGACCCCTTCAGTTGGAATTGGCTGCCAACACCAAGATGACAACTGTTGATGCGAGGAAAATGTCGCATAACTTACCCCAGGGTTTTGTCCTCCTGCCTTTCCATGTCGTCATCTGTCAATGAAAAATAAAGTGTGAAAATGCAGATGTAAAGCAAACGGTGGTATGAAGGAGAGGAAGCGGCTTGAGGGCCTCTTGGGCTTGAACATGTGGAATGATATTGCCAAACCTAAACATAATTGAGGTTTTATTAACAGCTTATCGAATAGTTGGAGGAGAGGAAGTAATAGTCACCCATTTTGGAATTGGGGCCTGTAGTACCATTGAACCCTTTAAACTGCCAAGGATATAAAAGAAGAAAAAAATATTTAAAAAAATTTGTCCTTCACTACTTTTTTTGTGTTTTAAAATTTGTATTTATGTATACCAAGAAGCATATTTTTATTTATTCGTTTGACTCTGAGTAAACTTGGAAAAGCCTTTTACACCTAAATTGATGGATGTATTGTGTATACTCAGCACTTTAAGAATCAAGTTAGTTTCTTGAAACAGGTGAAGAATATGAGCTGAGAAAGGAGGATGCAACCGGGCAGTAGTGGTGCATATCTCTGTGAGTTTGAAGCCAGCCTGGTCTACAAGAGCTAGTTCCAGGACAGGCTCCAAAGCTACAGAGAAACCCTGTCTCAAAAAACCAAAAGAAAAAAGAAAGAAAGAAAGAAAGAAAGAAAGAAAGAAAGAAAGAAAGAAAGAAATGAAAAGGAGGATTCTGTGCAGAAAGGTACCTGAGTTCATCTGAAGGACTCCACCCAACGAAGCACTTTTATGAGAGTCAATGGGAATACCTGAGCTGCTGCAGCTCATTCCTATGAAGGCTGAACAGCTTGTTAAAAAAAAAAAGGCCTACATTGGCAAAACTAAAAAGACCAACATGGTAACAACAACAAAGTCAACAAAAATCCCAGGGTGGTTTTAGGGGTGGACTCAGGGTGGAATACTTGCCCAGTGCAGAGGAAGGCATAAGCTTGATTCCCAACACTGTGAATGAAACAAGGGAGAAAAAAGGCAGTGAGGATTAAACATATACAGACCTGAATGCAAATAAAACTTGTGTTTAATACGTTTAAAGTCAAAGCACTATGAAGATATCTCCACATCTCTCATTGCATATTCTAGAAGGTACAGAAACAAGAGTGTGGATTTTGCAGCAAGTGAGGCTATTATGTCAGAAGGTTAAATCACTTTATTTATTTATTTATCTATTTATTTATTTATTGAGGCATTCTCACTATATAGCCTTAACTGGCCCGGTGCTCTCTGTGTAGACCAGGCTAGCCTCAGATTCAGAGACAGCCTGCCTCTGCCTCCCACGTGCTGGGGTTAAAAGTATGTGCCACCACTTCTAGTTTACTTTCTGTCTTGTTTGGCTGGCTTTGTTTTTCCAATACAGGGTTTCTCTGTGTTGCCCTGGCTGTCCTGAAACTTGTTGGCCTCAAACTCAGAGATCCGCGCCTACCTCTGCATCCTGAAAGTTGAGCGCCACCACTACGGCTTGGATCCAGCTCACTGTACTAAGGTGAAAAAGTGAATCCAAAGTATGTTCAATGTCTCAGATTATAGGGCTTTTGCTGTTGTTGAATGGGTCCCTCAATTTGATCGGGGTGCACTACCGGGTGACTCCCATTCTAGGAGAAAAGTAGAACGGGGACGGTAACTACCAGCTTACACTGGTATGTTCTAATCTCGGTACCGATGCTCCTTTCCAACAGTCTCCAACTGCAGTTTCACACGGTTTAGGATGTAATGCTGATTGGTTCATTTGTAAAAGTTTGTGTTATTCATCATTCTGCCTGCCTCCAGTTAAAGGGACTCCCTGACTTAGTTTGACAGTTTGAGAGAAAACTAAGAATTCTAGAATGACATTACGTAGAAACCAGAGGCAAGGTGGTATGAGAAACAAACAAACAAACAAAAAACTGGGGAGAGAGGACATGGTTTTCCCTTCAATCCGGGGGAATTTGAAAGAAACTCTGAACTCAGGATCAGAAGGGTCGCTTTCCTCCTTTAGGTAGTGCTAAAAAAAGCAGGCCTTTACCTTTGTAAAGCCAGCTTTCTTCATCTTCAAATTCTGGGGAATCCACTGTGCAGCATTCTGCTTCGCACATCTGGGGTGTCTGCTCTTCAGACATGGTTGTGGAATTAGGTTTCTGAGTTTGGGAACAGAATGGGGGGGCACCTGTTGGAGGAGCTGGTACCCAAGTTTAGGTGGCTGCTATATGGATCTGAGCCAGAGTTTCAGGCTTTCATTGCAGCCTCTCAAATGTGTTTGTGATGTGGTGAAGAGTGGGACTTGGGTGGGGTCGGTCAGGACGCCAGGCCCCAGGGCCCAGGCCAGACAGAGACCAGAGGGTTGGGAATGGGTAGAATCAGAGAATGTCACACCTCTGTAGTATCTTAAAGGCCTACCCTCAGTGGAGGTCTTCGAAAACACTGACTTCTAAGTTCCCTTCAGCTAGAGTGGAGATATTAAAAGCTCAGTGATCTAGTCAGTATCAATCAGGGCGAGGTGGTAGGTCTTATAGGCTTCCTTTTACTGGATCAGGTACCAGAGCTTCCACCTTGCCACCAACTCACCACCGGCTTACCACCGCGGAGCTTGCCCTTCCCAATCTACCCCTTACAGACGGGTTTCCTGGCATTGCTTGTACAGGACAGGAGGATAGGTGGGGTCAGTCAGCTGTGGTGTTGGAAGGGTACCGAGCGTGGGTACTGGACCACGGGAGGTGAGGCCCGGAGGCGAGGAGATAGGCTGGCTGCAGGTAGGAGTTTGTGGAGGAATAGGATGAGAAAAGGTTATTTGTCGGTGGTACCCTTTACTCCTATCCTCCAAGGGCATAGAAAAAACTGGCATCTGGGTTCTCCCTCAGCTGGGGCAGAAATGCTAAGAGAATATCTGAGATTTAGTTAATGCTGGGGGGCGAGGGACAGGCGGGGAGCAGAGGAGACACTCTTACACTCTTCCTTTCTCGAGTGCCAGATTGAATTCCCTACTTTACAAAAATTAAAGTAAAAATTTACAAAATTGAATTCCCTACTTTACAAAAAGGACCACTGCGGAGCTTAAGTCTCCTGAACAACCAACCCGCACAGAATGTTAGTGGTCCCAGCAGTATGTGAGGAGCATACAAGATAGGAGTGGGTCTTGTGGGTAGTGGGCACGAGGTTTGGATGAGCGCCTTAATGGGTAGGGCTGGTGGCAGGAACTGCGGGGTTGTGAGGGGCAGAGGGTAAGACAATGGTAGAGATGTGTGCAGAAGTGGGTCGGGAACTAGGGAATACCACACTTTAGTAGCACCTACCCTAAAGGTGCTTCCCCATGAGAAGGCTTAGAACACACTTGCTACTAGGTTTTCCCTCAACTCGCTTGGAAGTAGCAGGAAAATGTCTGATCTAGTTAATGCTTGGAAGTGGGGTGTCCTGTGTTCTTCCTTTCAGTAAATCAAATATTGAACTCCCCTACCTTACAAAACCAGCAAGACTTCACTGCAGAATTTGACTCGATATTCCGGCTACTCTGTACTGAGCCTCAGATTTCCAAGCAATCCTTTCGGAGGTCTGGAGGTGGGGGGAAATGAACTTCAGGGTGCCGTGCAGGTGCGGTGCAGGTGCGGGAGCAGGTGCCCTGCAGTGCGGCCTAGGTCTGGCAGACTGAAAGGTGAGATGGTGTGCTGGAGAAGGGCAGTGTGATGTCAGATGAGACTGTCACACCTCTGTAGCAGGTTAAAGCTTCGTCCCCACCGTCTGAGGGATGATGCTAGAGAACACCAGCACAGAGATTTTCCTTCAGCAGCTCTACAAGCACTAAAAATGTCTGCTCTAGAGACATTTTCTTGAGACAAAGTCTCAATATATAGCCCCCACCTGATCTGGAACTCGCTATGTAGATCAGACTGGCCCCAAACTCACAGAAATTCATCCTCCCGCCTTTGGCCTCCCTGAGTATTGTCATTAAAGGGGCGCGCTACCACACTACCTTCTAGCTACTATTTCGTGAGGGCCAGTTGCTCCTCAGCTTGTCCTCGTATTGGGTCAGTTAAAGGAAAGCCTTACCTTGTTAGGGTGGCCAGATCTCACTGTGGAGCTTGACTTTCTTTCCCAGAGACTCATGCAGACTTTTAGATTTCCCAGCACAATTGTGGAGCCCAGAAGGTGGGCTCATGGTCACCTGGCTTCAGGGAGGGGGTGGTGGTATAGCGGAGATCAGTATGGGGGAGGTTGGGAGTTTAGGGAGAGAGAATGTCACATCTCTGCAGTTTCCTTAAGTCCCATCCTCAATGGAGTACCTAGAAAGTGCTGGCTCCTAGATGGACTGTCTCACCTTTAAGCAAGTTCAGCAATCATTTGTCTGTGGGTCCTGCGTGTCTAGTTAAGCAGTCCAGGTAAAAGCAGTTTCTTGCCCAAATGGATAATCAACTCCATAAGGAGCCTCTCTGATGCCCATCTTTCTCTTGAAGCAACTGTTTTTTTTTTTTTGCCAGGACCAGATGTGTCTCATTGTCATGAAATGTCCTACATTTTTAAAAACATTTAAATGCCATATTCTGAAAGTCTCTGAAAGATTTAAGGAATACCTATCTAACTAAAATATATCTCTATACATCTAGAAAATCTAACTAACATGACTGCAAACTTAACTATTATAGATGACTTTCTATTAACCTATATTTCTTAATTATACATTACATTTTTAAAGGAGCTACACAAACACAATAATCAAGAGCAGATATATATATATATAAAACAAAATTGACCTTAAGTTTGTATCAATAAAACAAAATCCATACCATTGCAAATCTCTATAACATATCCCCCTTTAAAGGTAAAAGAACATTTATAAAAAATATTTGGAATATGGGCATAGTTTCTCCAAACTGTATTAATTAAATCACTGTTTGTCTCATTAGCTCTACCTTCTTATTGGCTAACTCATACATCTTAATTTAACCCATTTCTGTTAAATAGTTGGCTCCTCAGCTAGAATGGCTGCACAAAGCAAATGTCTGTGATCACCTAGTTACTGTCCGGGAGAAGAGGGATTGATCCTTTAGTCTTCACTCACTGGGTCAGTCAGGTACTAGTTTTTACCTTATAAAGGCACAAAGACTTCACTCAGGAGTTTGACTTTCTGTCCAAACTCACAGCACAGACCGTTATTTTGCTGTGTGGTACTAGGAGTGCACAGAAGATAGGGTGGGGGTAAGTGGGGGGAGTCAATTGTGCATGATGGGGCCAGCTGGGGAACACAGGACTAGAGAATGTCAGACCTCTAAAGGTATCCTAAAGGTTCACATTCATTGGAGGACCCAGAAATCACCAGTTCTCCCTCAGCTAGACTGGGAGCTCTAAGGAAACACGGCCTATTTTTCTTTTTGTGTGTGTAGGTTGGCGTCTATAGTCCTTCTTTCAAACCAAACCAAATGAAATCACTTAACCTAACCTTAACTTATCTTAACATTTGACTTTGAAGTAGTGCTTGAAGAACACAGAAAGTGGAATTGGGGTGCGGTGGACGGAGATAGGAGGAATGTGGTTGGGAGTGTGGGGGGATGAGGGTAGCATGGAGGTTCTGGGGTGGTAAGAATAGAAAAAAATCACATCTCTCTCACACCCTGAAGGCTGTTGGTGGTTGGAGAGCCTAGAAAAGACAGGTGCCTAAGTTCTCTCTCAACTAGGTTGGAACTGTGAAGAAAATGTAAGGGACCTTCTTAATATGGGGGGGGGGTGTCGCTTCCATGCTCTTCCATTCACTACGGTTTATAACAAACCCCTACACCTTCTAAAGATGCCAAGCCTTCACTTTTGACCCTGGCTTTCCTTCCCCATGGACCTGCATAGGCTGTTAGATCTTCAACAACTACCCCTAGAGCACAGAAGGTAGGCGGCAGGTGGGGGTAGGTTGGAGGGTGGGGTGATAAAAGAGCGTGCAGGGGGTGGGTACGGTGAGAGACTGTCACACCATCATAGTACGCTAAAGGCTCAGAGAATATCCTACTGTCCCATCATCATTGGAAAGCCTTAAAAATGTTGGTGCCTACTCTCCCCAGCTTGGATGAAAAGCTACAAAATATCTGTGATCTAGTCCATGTATATCTACATATACACATACACACATATGCTGGTGGGGAGAGGCTTTCTGAGGTCTTTCCCCGGGGCAGACATTTCTGCAATTCTCCCGGTTCTAGTTTGCTGTCTATTGACTATAAAACACGAAACAAAAGCAACTTGGGGAGTGCCTCAGCCTTTCTATCGCTGTGATAAAACACCATGACTAAAAGCAACTTTGGGGAGGAAGGGGCTTATTTCATCTTACAATTTTCCAGTCACTCCCCCTCACTAAGAGAAGTCAGAGTAGGACTTGATGCAGAAAACTGGGGGCTGCTGGCCGGCTTGCTCCCTCTGACTAGCTCAACCTGCTTTCTTATGCAACCCTGGATCACCTGGCCAGAGGAAGCCCCCAGCCCCCAGCCCACAGTGGGCTGGACTCTCCCACCTCAACCATTAATCAAGAAAATGCCCCACAGACTTGCCTACCGGCAATCTGATGGAGGCATTTTTCCCAGTTGAGGTTCCCTCTTCCCAGATGACCTTAACCTGTGTCAAGTTAAAAAGTAGCCACACAGGAGATAAAGGTTTATTTCATCCGTTTAAGGTACTTTCAAACTTCCCTCTGAAAGCTCACAAGCCAGACCTTCATTTTTAGCATTTCTCTGCATTCTTATCTTCCAAGGTCTTACAGAACAGCCCATTAAGCGGTGGACACACAACAGCTTTTCTAGCCCAAAGTTCCACAAACCACCACAATCCTTCCCCAAACACAGATAAGTCTGTCACAGCAATTGCCGTACTGGTTGGTATAAGTTTCTGTTCTAGTGCACTTTCTGCTGCTGTGGTAAGTGCTGACCAAAACTAACTTGGGGAGGAAAAGGTTTATTTCACTTTGCAGCATAGAGTCTATCATGAAGGGAAGCCAAGTCAGGAGCTCAAGGCAGGAGCCTGGAGGCAGGAACTGAAGCAGAGTCCGTAGAGGAATGTCTCTCACTAGCTTGCTCCCTGTGTCTTGACCAGCTTGTTTTTATTATTATTATTTTTATTTATTTATTTGTTTTTTGTACAACCCAGCACGCCTTGCCCAGGGGTTCACACAGCTGGGGACCTCCTAATTTCCAGGGATAGCATGCACTACCCACAGTGAACTGGGTCCTCCCACATCAAACATTAATCAAAAAGATGCACTAGAGATTTGCCTATAGGCCAATTTGATGGGACATTTTCTCAACCGAGGTCCCCCTTTCCTAGATGGCTCTCTAGTCTGCATCAGGTTGACTAGAAGCTACCCAGTACATGCCCCCTCCTCAGTCTTTCTTGATGCCTGAATGCCAAGCCATTAGTTCTCTGACTGCTTTAACAAAGCCTCTAATCCTGGCAGGTTGCCCCCCCCTCCCCCCAGCCTCTCACTGCCACTGTTTCCTCAGGAAGGGAGCTTACTGTCCCCATTTCTTTCAGTCTTTTGTTTTTTTATGGATAATTTTTGCTTGCTTTATTTTGTTTTTGTTGAGGCAAGGTTTCATTGTGTACCCCTGGATAGTCAGGAATTTGTTATGTAGACCAGGCTGGCCTCAAACTCACAGAAATCCACCTCCTGCTTCTGCCTCCTGAGTGCTGGGGTTAAAGGTATGCACCACCATGAGGTGGCTAGGGTTCTTTTTTTTTTTTTTTTTCCTAGCCCAGCCTTATGTGGAGAAACACAATGGGCCCTCCTTACCTTATTCCAGGACAGGGGCAGATTTGAAGTGGAACCAGCCTAAAGTCCCCGAGATAGGTTGCTAAGGGGACACCCACCAGCACAGTGGGGACTCCTTCCAGACTTCTTCCCCTCGCCCCCCCCCACCAGTTAGGTGTGAACCACACCAAAACACCTGTTTTCACAGAGAGATCACTTATTAAGAGAGGAAGAAAAGTTAAAAGCAGTTGCTTTCTGACTCAGGCAGAAAACAACATCAAATGACCTTGCTTACGAGAAAAAGGGGAGATCTGTGTTAGAATGGGCCAGGGTGTGGTGGAAAAAGAGATAGAGAATGAGAGAGAACGGGAAGGTGATAAGAGAAAGGGGCAGGGATTTTTTTTTCCAGAGGGACAAAGGACTGTCTCTGGTTAGAGGGGAGATAGACATGGCACATAGGCGCGGTTAGAAAGGTAAAGGGGGAAAGCCCATGTTAGGATGAGGTGTTTCATTTTAATTGGGCTTGTTAATTAGGCCAACCAAAGGGGCTTTTGATTGCTGGACTTTAGTAGGCAGCTTCAGGTGGAGGAAATGGCCAAATGCTACCCACTGAGCATAAGGGAATCTGGTGGCTTACTTTAGGAATGTAATCTAACAGTTTTTAGTAAGGCAGAGGGAATGAACGAGAAAGGCAAGGCCTGCCAGAGTCACATGCTCGAGTGGGCTAGTGTGCCTTCAGGTTGTGGGCAGGAAGAAAATCCCTTACAGCAGGCAGCAACAGTTAAAAACTTTGCCAAATAAAAGTGAAGAAGTGTGTGCGCGCGCAC